TTCGAATGGAGGCAGCCTTTGATTTGGATCTTTACTGTGGAAACTCTGAGTTGACCTAGCAGAGGAAAACAAATACAAAATATTTACTCAGCATGCATGGTGTGCAAAATTGAACTCGACGGAGAAAAATATAATGAGCTTTGTTAAATGACTTCCTAAATAAAACACCATCTTAAAGTCCGTCCACTGGAACATAAAGCTATTTGGGGCCAGTCAGTCTCATGACAGACATCTAACAGCCAGATTTATCATATTATGTACTAGAGATTACTTAGAAAGGAATTGCCTTCATTTATTTTTGTAGTTTACTAGCCAATAAATCAGTCCCAATCATTGTTTAATGGTACTGTCCATGGAGACTGTGTTTTCAACTAAGTTTCTCCCTCATTGGGAATGTTCAAAACATACTGAGCTTGAGTCTCTTTGCATGAATAAGGAAGGAATGAAAGTGGCCTTCAGCCTCTTTATTTACCTAAGGCTCCAGGACCCACGGACACAAAACCGTTGGGTTAAATCTTCCACTTCCCTCACATTAAGATTTCTTGGAAAGTAGAAATATTTTATATCAATTGCATAACACATTCTCCTTCCATGACAGATATTGGCATTCTCTAAGTTTTGAGCTCTGAGGATGTGGGAGTCAGATCGACTTAGTTTAAGATTAGATAGGCTTGGTCACAACTTGTGGGCTAACTGAAATATACTGTTTAACATATATGATCCTCAGCTTCCTTATGTATAAAATGAGAAAATAATAACTTCCCTCTAGATTTCTTGGGATAAGCAAATAATAAAACAATATGAAGATTTCAGCATGGGTCATGGCACAAGTGATTAATAACTGATGGCTACCATGACTTCCAGCTCGTTGTCTTGTTACCCACATCCTTGATAAGCACATAACTCCTAAATGAGAAAGTCTCTGTTGACGTGAGAGCAGGCATTCCTTTGAAGATGTGCAGATATATCACTTTACAAAACAAGAGCCACTTCAGTTGGTCTTAATACAGAATTTGGTTCAGATTAAGATGCCAGGGAAGCTGAAACCTGCTCTCCCAGCCTAGGCTCTGCCTCTGGTCACTGCCCAGCCCCGGTCATGAACCACGTTGTCTCTCTAGGGTGGCAGTGGGAAGGGTAGAAGAATCCTCCACTTAATGTGATACTGTGTAAATGTGTCATACCTGGGAAGAGTTACGTATACAAAAGAACAATACTAAGAAGCAAAACTTGTCAGAACTTGAGCAGGAGATAAGGTCCCCCAGCCAGAAACAACAGCTCTGAAGTACTCTGGGACTAGCAGAGCTAGCCTGGCAATGTAGTACGATGCAGACATTTGACCCCACCCCAGACCAGCTGGCTAATAAGAATTAGGGTTTTCTGTGCACATTGAGCTTTGTGAATGCTTGATCTACGAGTCTCAATGGTCTCTTCCCCAAGCCAGTTCTGCTGTTATCCTATAAATGGACATGTCTCCCAGATAGTCTGAACTCATTAGATAAACACCTCAGCATCACAACCGGGTCCGTTCTAGACTTGGCAACAGCCCAGGGGCAGCAGTTTTGCTTTTCACATACACTAGAAGTTCTGGACTCCGAGGATTCACAGCCCTGCATCTGCTTTTGATATTCTTAATCCATCTTCTCATTTGCTCTTTCTGGTCCGGACTTTCCTCTCCCTCTAAACTTCTTTCCACAGTGAACTCATGTGTTACCTTGGCCTCCATTATCAGCTATTTTGTGGCTGAACATGCAGGTCAGTTCAGATTTTATTACTCAACTTGGAACCATGTATCCAGACTATTTGTAATTCTTAGATCCTTAGTGTTTCAAAGAGAACCCCATATTTTACAATTACATAACAAAACTCTCCAGATCCTTTTATGAACTTCTAATGCCCTCCCTAGTCACTTCTTCACAGATGCAACAGCTATCAAACACTTGCTCAAGTTAAAAACTTTAGGAACAGTTCTTGACTACTGCCTCTGTCTCGTACTCGATCAAGCAATAAGTCCTGCTGACTTCTCTTCCCACACAGCTCCAAGTAACTTACTCCTCTCTTTCTCTACTCCCTGATCGGTCAGCCACTGATAGGTCTTATCTGGTTCTCAGATTCCTTCAGTCTTGTTGATTCCTATCACTCCATTCTCCATATTGAAGGATGCAAACCCTTTTAGAATAAAAATCTGATCACGCCATTTCCAACTGCCCTCCAAATTAAGTCCAAACTTGACATGCAAAGTTCTTCATGTATGTTCTGGTTACCCTGCCTTCTCCAGTAACATTACTTGGCATTGATCCTACCTACGGTCTGTATTCTTGCAAGCATTCAAGTGGACTACTCTCTCTTAGACTTTTATGCATATTTCCTCTCCGTGAGTACCCTCTTTCTTATCACTTAGCAGACAAGGGCTTATGTTTACTTACTCATGCCAATTCTAAGACCACCCCAGAGAAACAGGTGAATTCAATTAATTGAGAAGACAATAAAATGGATTCTTTGTCCTGATTTCACAGGACAATCCACTACTGGCAGAACCATTATGCAGAGAAGCCCTCTGTCAGGTCTGCATACATTAGACTTACTGCTGAGCATGCCAAAACTCTGTTTTATGATATTGTAAAATTTCTAAGCTTCTGGGGTCTTATTTCCTTGACCCTAAAATAGAATTACTATATGGATCCCCAAAGGTCAAAATTATGGGAACCATTTACTCAGTGAAGGTATGGGAAACGCATGGCTTCACTTCAATCTCACCTTCCCCACCTCACCCTCTGCCTCCTAGGAACTGGAGAGTCTCCCATTCTAGATCTTACCCTTTCTGGACACCTCCTACATTCCCGTTCTTGTTTTGGACCAACTTTGGGTGATACAGTTCCTAGGATGCTTTCTCCAAACCCTTGATTAGCTGAGCACTTCCACTCTTCTTTTCAACAAAACTAAGCAATTCTAGTATCACTTCCTTCACATAGTGAAGCACCAAACTTACTTTAGTATCTTTTGTCACTTGAGATGATGCTCTTCTGTGTGCTCACTACAGACCAGAGAGTGGGAAGGTTTTCTTACAGTGACCTCACCTTGACTCTGCCTTGCTCTTTGTTTTACAGTCATCCATGTATCGAGCACCACAACATAATCCTTTACATGGACAAAGCTTTCCTTTTTCTTTTTGAGAGTTACCCATGTCATATTCCTGAATTAACCATGTCTGAAAAGGAAAACAATTTTCCCAAAATCAACCGAGCAACAGGGTTTAGATAGGGTCCTACTCTAATTTCTAATGAAGACATCAATGCTCTGTGCACTAGGCCCTCCCTAAGAATAAGCCACCTAAATAAATACATGGATAATTAATGTATATCTGCAATGTGGGTGATTGATACAGTGTATGTGAATGTGTGTAATAATGTGCAATGTATGTATATTCCTATTAAAGTCAATTCCATGACAATCCGCAATGGAAACTAGCAAAGCAGGGGTTTCTCTTTGCAAGCCTACTTACGGACATGACATTTTGATTTAATTGTGCTTGTCAGTTAGTTATTTTTTGTCAGGTCCCTGCAGCCTGGAGGTCTTCTGAGGCCTGGCTAAGCAGCAGATACATTGAGGATGTCATGTTTTCATGAGCCTCAAGATACTTTTTAGATCATCAGAGGCAAGGTTTCAGCTACTAGCAGTGAAGAACAGAAAGAGCTGTTAACAGACAGCTGAGGGCTGGGCTACAGCTCTGTGGTATAGCAGCTACCTAGCAGGCAGGAGGCCCTGAGTTCAGTCCTCAACACCACCAAAGTATGACTAGCCCCTTCCCCCAATATGAGAGGAGTAATCTCCCAGGAGTGTAGATTATCTTTATAAGGCTAGCAAGAAGGTATGCAAATCTTGTTCCCTGAGGCTGACAGCCCTGTGGGAATTGGGGGCGGGGGGGGGGGGGGGGGG